GTGTGTGGGCACAAGTTAGCTGCATAAAGGTCACACAGGTGAAATGGTTCATTTTGTGTGCTTCAATTTGAGATCTTAATTGTATCTCCCAATGTCAGTTTATCTTCCCCTAAATGCAATGGCCACGGGCTGCCCAGCGTTGTCATCCCACTGGCTTCATGGGCCGGCAGTTTCGTAATGTTCAGCCTCCTGGCACAGATCGCCACCAACCTCGTCTTCACTTCCCGAGGTGCCGGGCTGTCCCACAGACACACCTCTGTCCCCAGGCCTCCCCTTGCTAACACACGAGTCTAATGCCAGGTCTTTTCCTCGTGTCTCTTCAAAGGCCCATGCTGTATGTATATTTTCTGCCACCTGCCCCAGGGAGGGCATATTTAACACCTCTGCCAAAGTAATCGGTTGGATGCAACTATTTCACCTCATCAAACTTGCTAGGCTTCTCAGAAAGGGTGTATCCATGCCCCCTAGCTTTTCTCACCTACAGCTGATGGGGAATTTCCTTCCTCACAGAAAAGGCAGAGATCCCACAGCAGCTGGTCATGTGGCAGTCCCCATCACAGCTGCCCCACCGCAGTGTCCTCCCCTCCCTCTAGCAGCAAACAAAATCCCCTACCCTCCATTTCTCTGCCCTCCTACCACAACACTGGGCTTTCCTCATCTATGCACGAAGACCTGGAGACCCAAGGACAAGCAGAAAGAGCATATTGCTGTCATTGCTCTGCTCCCACGCCATCCATTTCACGCAAGGAAGCACAGCTCTTGCCCTGCCATCCCTGTCTGTAGAAATCCAATTATTGTGCACTGCACATCAACTCCAGTGTGCTCTGGGAGGGGCAATAGGATGATGTACAACAAGCAATATGCATATAGGTATGGTGAAGACCATTCATCACTGATAAAAATGAAGCTTTCTTAGCATACGCATCAATCTTCAATCTACTTTTTCAGCCCCTGAGGATGTACTCATTGTGAATTAGCTACCAATAAACAGATAATACTTAAAAGTATTCTAAGCTTTTCTTTAGCTTCGATTTACTGCCCTAGGTGCCATAAAATTGAAACAGAAATACACACAGTGTGAAAAGTCATGATAAATTGGACTTTAAGGACTCGATGTGTAATGCTAGGAAGTCACACTTCAAATGGCCATGAATATCAAGGTGTTGCTAACAGGAAGAGAGAATTGCATTCTCTGAGTAACTCAGCTGACAATATTTCTGTATTAAGCACTCAGGGCTAACTTCTGCAACATGTGGTGTTACCCAGCTCTCACTGAAAATTACACACATCCAGATGTCTCAGTGGTTTGCAGGAGGCTCTCTGTACCTTGTATGACCATACCTTCCAGTTCATTTGTGAATCCTCTAGAGCATGTACTGTAACCTGAGTTTGGCCTACCATCCAGCACCATGGGACCCCAGGTTTAGTTAGGGCCTCCACATAACACAGTAACACAAATACCTCATTAATAATGATAATCAGTAGACACACACATTTGGAATAAAAAGAGCACGGAACATCCAAAAGTCTGAGAAATGAACCGTGGACAAAAAATGAATCAATGTAAGTGAACTTTTTTTTCTTCCCATGTTTCATCTTCAATATACTTGGCTTAATATCCAGAGGGTATTTCAAAGTTTGAGCTTCCCAGTGCAAATGAAGGGTAAATGAACCGCAATAGACATTTGGGTTGGTTTTATTTTTAATAAGTGGTGACACATAATCAATTTTTCCTACTAGCACTCTTGATTTTGAAGATAAAATGAAATGTACAGAGATTATCATCAGTAAGTATTTCAAAGAAGTCTCTGCAAAAAAAATGAATAAAGCACTACATCATTCTGTATGAGCAGAAGTACTGAGAACTGTTGCATTGCTCAGACAGTATCTAAGTCTGGGCTTTGTTTAAAGAGAAGATGTCCTTTTACAATATTTAAGGCACGTGAGATTTTGCTCATTAGGAAACCAATTATATTAAATCAATCAATCTGAACATATCTAAATCACGCTGAAAATCAATTGAAGATCAATTTATATCTGAGAGCACTGTGTGAAAATTATAATTATGTGATCAAGGAGGTGACGTGTGTGCAATATGCACATGCTCTGAGGGTGTTTGTCAGATGGTGTGAAACTCTTACTTCCCATCTCAGAAACCACATTTACCTGCACATGAACCCAATTAGCTTCCATTTCCCACTCCCCCGCAGCAAGGTTTGTATCTCAGTGTTTTACAGCCTGTCTCCTGCACCAAGATTTGATGTGTCAGAGCGAGCTGGTCAGCTTACTCTTGGCTGGTTTCATAACTGCCTACTACATAAGACCACACAGTCCTAAGAGAACAAGACTGCACTGCAGGCAAGGGGTGACCGCTGTTCTTTGAAACGTCTGAAGCAAAATCACACGGTGGCCTTCCTCACTTCCAGCCTGACAGATGTCTCCCCAACTTGTCAACCAACACACCATTTGTCTCCAAGACATGAGCGAGAAGGTTTAGTTTAGCTACCAGAAGGGTGATTATTGCAGAACAAGATCTTGGCACTTTAATCTAACCCACCATTTTCACTGCACTCTGTTTTATGATATTAGAATATTAAAAAATGCTAACAAAGCAAACATTCAGCCTGCAATACTTCTTTTCCTTCATTTCTTCACATTTTTACTGCTTGTAAGATTACAAGCCAGACTTGCTAGGGGAAGAATGGATTTTTTATCTGTCTGCAGAACTTGGGCAACAAATCCCTAACTAGTTCATATCACCTGGAAACCAAGCTGGCATGCTACTTCCCCTCAGTCCTAAAGCTCTGTGACCTGCATCTTACTTAACTTCAACTAATTCTTACTTCTATGCTGATCTCAGTGAAGCACTGAAAATTGTAACAATGATATTATAACTTGTGGATGATATACAGAAGCATGTGTTATCACACATGGCTGATATTTAAGTACCTTGGCTGCGACCATTTCTCCTAACAGATATATTTAAGTTAGCAATTCCATGAGCACTAAAGCTATTTGCAGTTTAGTTTTCTATAGGTGTCTGTGTCTTGGTTGTTTGACTTTGATGGCTAAAACAAATGAAGCCTTTTCAATACTTACAGCATTTATAAGGACCCAAATGAGAAACAGATCAATGAGTACAGAAAATTTCAGTGCAGGGCTAATAGACCTAAAACCATATGTGCACAGACAAGCAATATGATCACGTGCCACATTTCTATAGAAAAGCAGTGCAAAATCGAACTAAGCTAAACACTAATTTACGTGAAATTCAATGAATGTGGTATATAGTGGCAGGGAACGGGAAAGTGGTTTAGGGCAGACTCAAGAAGAGTCAGAAATAGAAGATGAGAAGGCTCTATCAGACAACAGTTGAAGAGACTGAGCCATGCCTGCTTCTCAGTTAGATTAGCTCTCTGGAAAACGACAGCAGCTCACACAGACATAATATTTACAGAATACAGTCTCCTTTGAACAGATACAAGCATAACCTTGAGAGTGTGAACATTATCAAACTGAGATTATAAAATCTCCCTTATCTCCCTCTGGTACTGTGAGGATATGGAAGTCAAAAGCTTTGATTCTCTCAGATACTACAATATTGGAGACCATATAAATAACTGAGATGGTTAAACAACCAAGGAGAACAAGATATGGTTCATCGGCCCAACTGTTTCTCCACCAGCTTTTAGGCTGAAACCAGTTAAAGAACAGTCTGCAGCATGGCCAAATGTATCAGAAGTTGTTTTTCTCTTAGCTTCTTGGTAAGTTGCTCAGCAGTCTGGAATGTTATGCCAAGTGGTAGTTAGGGAGGTCTGCAGCATTTGGGAAAGCTAATTACAGAGATGGTTGGAGGACAGGGTGATGCCAAGCGGGAGGAAGGTTTCCCTCCAGAAATGGAGTGTCAGCAGAGCTAGGAGGGCACATAATTGGTCAGAGCTCGCCCTTATCAACCAAGAATGATCACGGATGTGGCTTTCAGCCCACTGAGTATTTTCTGCCATGAGAATTAATCAGATTTTTTTGCCTGTGCATGAAGCTGTTCTCTCAGACCTTCTCATATATAGATGTATGGTGCTTGGTGCTTTTAGAGAGCACACGTAATTTCGATTACTTAAATAGTTTATTGTTCTCATAAATCTTAAGAGACATTTTGGTCACTTTCTCTGATTTAGAAAACAGTGATTTTACAGGTATAGTGGCTGATTATTTTTTTAATCCTCAATACATTTTTTTTCTAGACACACCTTTCTTCAAAGAAAATATAGCAGGAATGGTACCAGCAGTAATGGAAAAGGCTACAAACCTTTTTACTACTGACATCTACTTTCACCCCGATGTGTGAAATATTAATTAACAAACGTAGAGGTAAAGGGAAGGGGGAAGGTGCTGCGGGTTTATTTCCAGGTGAACATTGTACATTTTATTTTGAAAAATAAACCTGGAATCTGATTGTTGCCTGCCTGTAACAAGCTCAAAGGGGGTTGGAAAAACAAGGAGCTTATTCTTGCTATAAGCAGCTTAAGGAAGTCTCGAGGACAAAGAGCGTGTGCTGACAGACCACCCCCGTGGCAGACACTTGTGCACCTGGTACCACGAGTGAACGAGCCCTGTCGCACGACACAAGCAACATTTGAGGCTCAGGAGGGGACGAGCTGCCGTGGGGGACCCCCAGCAGTGCGGGGCCGCCCTGCCCACCCACCCTCCATTTTGCTGACAGGAGGACGAGCCCCCCCAACCCGGGCTGACTGGAACCCGCAACAAATCCCAGAAAAACGCCTTCTGGGGGGCTTCCGTGGGCCTCTACCCCTTAAATGTGATCTCCCCGTCGGCAACGAGTGCCACAAAGCACCACGGCCCTCCCCAGGCCCGGCCGTGACGGGGAGGACACCGCCTGCATCTCCCCGGCCAGCCCCGCCGCCCGCCGCCATGCCGGGCGCCCCTCAGGCGCTGCCCGCCCCCTCCCCGCGCACCACGTGGCCCGGGCTCCGCATCGCCGCCGCGCATGCGCCGTGCCCGCTGCCCCTGCCCGGCCCAGGCTGGGGCTCCGGCGCAAAATGGCGGCGGCCGGAGCGGGGCCGGGAGGGAGCGGGTGGCGCTGAGCGGGCGGCATGGCGGCGGCGGGCCTGGCGGCGGCGGCGGGCGGCTGCCGGAGGTGAGGCGCTGCGCCGCGGGGAGCCGGGCCGGGAGCGGAGGGGGCAGGCCGGGCGCGATACGCGGTGGGAAACGGGAGGGGGCGACGCCGCCGCTGCTGCCGCCCCCGCGGCGGGGCTGCGGGCACCGGGCGCTGGCGGTGCCCCGGGGCGGGGGGCGCGCCGCGGGGCCTCCGGAGCGGGGCTGCCCGCGGCCGGCCCCGGCCCGCAGGCTCCGGCCGGAACCTCCCGGTCCCCGCCGGCTTCGCCCCGGGCACCTCGCAGCGAGCCCGTGCTCGCTGCTGGCCCCCGGAGCCGGCCGCAGCTCGGGGTGCGGGGTGCGGGGTCCGGGCTCGCCCCCGGCCCGGCGGCTGTCCCCGAGGGGCTCCCGGGTGTCCTCGGGGGGTGCCCGTGGGGAGCCTCTGGAAGGTTCCCGCTGCCCCCGGGGCGCTGTCGCGGCTCTGCTCGCTCGCCCCTGCCGCCTCCGCTGAGGCCGTGGGAGAGGATGAGGATGGCACGCGAGTGAGCCGCCAGCACGAAACGCGACAGTAAGGGAATAAAATGCTGAAATGGTGAGCGTGAGACGCGCCCGCTGTATCTGTGTGAGAACTTAGCCCAGGGGACACAGCAGCGCTCGGGGTTTTGCTCCAAACCAGGATAAGGTAACACGCGAAGCTGGAGTGCTTGGCAGATACGCCGCGAGGTGCGGTCACCTCAGGTTTGACCACATATCGCGTGCGCTGCTTTCATTTAGAAGGGAGAAAATAAAAATAGAAACTTGGATATCAAACTCGTAGTGATCATAACTTTCCTGAGGCACTGGGAAGCCTGATGACTTAAAGCTTTAGTGTTTTTGTCTGAAAGATATTAGGGAAGAGGATTATTCTCCTGAGATTCTCCTCATGTTTCAAACATAACCCTTGGACCGCTGTCTCTGTGTTAGTGTGCTTTGTGCGGAGAAGGGAATTCCTTTTCAGATCCAGCGCCTCTATATTACTTTCTATTTCAACCTTGTGATTAAGAAAGCAATATAAATCTCCGTTCTCCCCTCCACCCCTTGTTGACTAAGAGTCCGGTGCCAACATATTGAAATTAATTCTGTAGGGATTTATTTTTGAGTATGTGGAGCAAGTGTCTTTCATTTAGCAGTGCACAGACTCTGTGGACTGCGTGATTTACAAGGCAAGGTCAGAGTGTGTGCTCAGTAAAATTCTTGAGTGAAGATAATGTGTGGTGAAACTATGGCTTGTGCTGTTCTCCCCATTCATGGAGTAATTTAATTCTTACTCCTCTCAGTTGATGGACAACAGTGTAGCTAATCCATTTAAGAACTTGCTACTGTGCTGCACCAAATAATGTTGTGTGAACATCGGCACCAGCTCGTGCTTATATGTAAATGTCTGGTGATGGTCTTAAAGAACAAGGCTTGTGTGTTCAGTCCTGACGTTAAGCTGCCAATTGCTGTCTGTCTTTATTCAGATTACTGAGACTTGTATAGCTGAACCACATACAGATAGTCTCAGAAATAGAGGTAAATATTTCACACAGTGTACAGCCAGTGTTTGTTTCTGTTCATCGGAATTGCGGGGCGGGGGTGTTGGAGGTACCAAATCCTTCGTGTTTTGAAGCATTGTTTTACTTGCTTACAAACTTTAGCCAGTATATAAATGGGTTTGACTCTCTAATCTAATTTTGTATGTTTAAACGTAGAAGGAGCACCAACACGAGTCATCTTGGATCATTGTTTTGTGGCATTATTGTAATTGCTGGCTTCTTAAAATCCTTGTCTCCTAATAACATGAGCTTTCTTCGTATTTCCAGATTTCCTTGCTGAGTCATAGATACAGTAGTGTTGTAATGCTTATAGCTGGCATTGACTGATTTGCAGAGAGTCATACATGAAAGAACAGAATTATTTTTATAAGCGCTCCTGGAAGACTTGCATGGACTTGTCATTGTGATTTTTCTTCTGTTTTTTTTTTTTTTTTTTTTGAGCTTCTCAGACAAGTTCAAGACTTTGTATTGTGAAGGCATGTTGCTCATTCTTAAAATACAGTATAAAATGCTGTCTTTGCAGCCAGCTGTTGGAGTGTAATTCAGTGGGGCTGTCCGAGCTTGATGAGTAGACTAACAAAATATTGAGTCTTTGTTTTGAAAGAGGTTTTTCAAGTTGCTGCATACACGATGTCAGGTTTACACCTGTCACTGATGGTAATTAACCTAGAGGCTTGGACAACATCTTCCTTTGTCCTGCTTTGCAGGCTGCTTTGGTGCTGTGGTAGCTTGTGGTCCTACATGCGACTGTATGAGGACACGTAACACCAGCCCTAGTCCTGCTGCCACACTGGTCTGGTCTCGATGTACCAGACTGTGTGACAGGAAAGGGGACCGTCTTCTGATGCCTTGGCCCCACAGTGATGGCTGAGGGGGTTCTGGCTGCCCTCCAGAGTCAAAAAGTTAGATGCATCAAAACATCCTAGAGACACTCTGCATGGACTCCATGTAGTTCACATTAATGAAAGCTGTATAAAGATAAAATGAGAAATTCTGCTTAATAAGAAATAAAAGTGCTCTTAATACTGTTACTAAGAATCTGACTGCGCTTGTGGCAAATCTCAACTGAAAGTTTCTAGTTTCAGGTTTTTTTTGTATTTCTGAACGCATTTGCATGAATTTTAGTATCTGTTACAAGATCAATGGTTTGTACCACCTTCTGAAATAACAGGTCTGGAAAACCAGATATACAAACTTTTTTAGTGTGTGTGGTGGAGAGTGGGAATCCTAGCTGAGATCTGAGTGTTAGATGAGCTTCCCGTGAGTCATATAATTGCCGTATCTCAGTTTCATTACCTAGCTTCTTTCAAGAATGAGGCTTGTCAGTGTATCTTTAAATCTTTGGGTAGAATTTACTATGGATTTTTAGAATATTCTTTCCTTTGTTGGCTTACTTCTATGCCTGAGCTATTATATGAAGGGACTGTAGATGCAAAGTTTGATGCTGGTCTTGCTTTTTGTGCCTATCCAGTCTGTCCTGCACATCTCCCAAGCAGGATGCCAGTTGTAATGATGCCTTCAGCATAATGAATGGCTGCTAGGAGGAGACCTGAAATCTTTGTGTGCTTTATGTAGAGAATGGCAGAACTTTGTGTTGGGGAGAATCAAAATGGGCAAGAAATGGTGGGAAGGAGTTGAGTAGCAGTGGTGGTGCATACCACGCTTTTTTTTGTGCCTTGCTGCCTGAAATTCCGTACAGCTTTAGCACCTTGTTTTCATCATATTATTTGCTGTCTTTTTTGTTGTTGTTTTTGTTTGCAGTGTTGATGCAAAGAGGTTACTGGAGCTAAGGGGATCTGAACTCTCTCATTTACCTGCCCTAGGGACTAGGGTGGAACACCTTTGTGCTCTATCAGGATGTTTGGGAGGTTCTGGACAGGTGTTTATTGGCAGAATTAGCTCAAAAGCTTGTTGTCCACAGCTGCTTTTTCCTGCTTCCCACGGAGTCTCCTCAGCTGTGTTGGTAAAGTTGTTTATATTGCTTCATTCTAACCATTACAAGAAAGTGATCTGTCTGAAAAATAAACCGCTGAAACACAAAAAGGCTTCAGATAAGGTCTGAGATTTGGGTCATCGCATTACTATGGAAAGCTTGCTTGCCGGCATGGAATAGAGGCAAGGCCAGGTAGGTGAAAGGGATCTGGGGGTGGGACTGTGTTGCCTACAGTGTGTTGAGGTACACATGTAACTATATACTTAGTTAAATTTAAATCTGGTTTGATTACTCCATTGAGTGCCAGTGTTGCATGAAGCTATATCAAACGACTGGTTGTGGACTTTAACAACTTAAAGAACTTGTGGGGCTTCCGGCGACTTCAGCTTGTTGGGGATTTTCTGAGGTTTGTCTGTGGGTTTAAGTTATTTCTGTAAATGGAAAATAAGAATTACTGTGTTTTACCAGAGCGTTAAAAACCCCAAAATCTTTTAACAGTAGTCAAAACTGATTAAGAAACAATTCTCAGGAAGGCATGTGTGAGGGGGAGGTGGAGTGGGTAATGTTTGAGGGTAACACCTTCCTCAATCAGTTTCTAAGTCTGCAGGTCTTGCTTTATTTTCAAACATGACATTCTAACGCTGGCTCTTCTGTCTGATTGTTTCGTAAGTCCTATGTGATCTTTGTGCTCAAATCTTGTCTGAATTCTCACCATGTGTTCTTTGTGACACTGGAACTTTGCTGTTCCAGTGAAGTTGTTCCTGTATTTGAAAGATTTTATTATTATTATTCTTTACTTTTCTTACCTATCATAGCCTGTTGCCAGTTCACTGCAACATAATTATTCGTTTTAAATCTCCCTTCAAGAACCTTTTCCTAGTGCTGCTATTAGTGCCACTCCCTATCTTCTTAAAGAACCTTTCTATTTCTGGTGACCTCTTTGATATGGGATTATTTTAGTGTACTAACTTGGGGCTTTTAAGACATATCCTCTTCCTGCCACTCTGCATCACTTGAAATGTTCAGTGTTTTCCACTGGGAAGAGCTAGATCAAGCTAGTTAATGGCACATGAGATCTCTCTGGTTTGGAAGCCCTGTCCAAGATCTGTTAAAACTGTTACAGGATAATTGTAAAGCCAATTTACACTTCTACTGATAGTAACAATGGGTAGACGCAAAGGATTTGCTTGAACCAGCAATTTAATAAGTAACTGTTGCTTATCTCTTAGTTATGCATTTTATTTTGTGACACTGTACTTGCAGATGCTCTGTGATCAGTGGAGCTGCAAAATGTTGATGTGCACTGGTGTTGTCTTTTGGTGGTGCTTGTTGCGTTTCTAACATCCATCTTTACAATTTAGTTTGGATCAAAGAAGACAGCTTTCTCTCTGTCCAGTGCTGAGTCTCGAGTCAAAGTTTGAAATACAGAAAGCAAGAATCCTAATGTCTTATATGAAAGCATATCCTAATGAAGTTACGCTCATTTATATGCAAATAAAAGTTTTTTTGAGTGACTGGGTAGACCACTTTGCATTA